GTATTTTTTTATTTTTATTTTATTTTTTATTTTTTCGTTGATGGTTTCTTAAAAGGGTGCTTAGATATGATTGGGTTGTAATTTTAATCCTATAGCTTTATACGTGTCTGAAATTAATAGACTCTGCTAATAGATTTTATATGGTATTGTGGAATTTTATATATATATATTAGGATTTAATTTAGAATTTAATTTTTATTGTAATTTTTTTTTCTATCCATTTAGAAATTATTCATTTTTAAGGCGTATATTTGGTGGTGTTTGCAAAAAAAAAAAGGGTTTTTTTCATTTCTTTGATTTAATAAAATTTTGTTTTTTTAGAAACTTGATAATGTGTAGTTGTTCATGTGTTTCACACTGGCCAGATTCCGGGGACAGATATGTTGGACAATTTCATGACCCAAAAAGAATAATGTTTTTTATTTGTTAAAATAGTAATACTTGCAATTCGTTTTGCCTTCGTTGGTTTATATTTCAAAATATAGACAAACACATCTTTCCTCAAAATTCTGCTCTATCGCTCGACCGCCACGCCCTGTGGCTCTCAAAATAATAATAATAATAAAAGTACCACCTTATTGATATGGTAGTCCCTGCAGACTGCAATGTATCTTTGAAGATCTTCAGAAATCTATCAAAATACAAGGACCGTGAAATCGAAATCTCAAAAATGTGGCACATGAGAACATCAACAATCCCTTTTGTAGTTGGAGCCCTCAGATTGGTCGGAAAGGATTCCAGTAGACTCATTAAATGAATCCACGAAGAAATTCTCACGAGTGCAGCCCACTCCATACGAAGGGCTTTATTTATGTGTGATTTTTGAAAATGTGTGAAGTTGAAAATGTCATGATGCCATTTCTGGCCTTAGGTCTCTGATTGGGACCCAGAAAGAAATAATTACAGACCAAAAATCAAAGGAAATAAAAATAAATAATAATAATACAAATGCGTGCTTCAAAATTAGAGCTGACATTAAATTTGTAGAGAACAGAAAAGGAGGAATGCATTCATTGTTCCTTGTTGAGAATTGGAATATATTGAGGCAAGTGATAAAACTCGAAATGGAAAAGTACCAGAAAATGGAAAAAGGGGAGACAATCATGTCTGTATCTATCTATTGACCATGACAGAGATGGAAAGAGGAAATGTGTTATGGAGACACGTGATGTTTGCATTTACGAACGACGGGCATACTTAAGTCCTTACATCGCAAAATGATTTTTTTATTTCTTTATATTTCTAGAATTTTCGACCTGCTAGAAAGAACGAATATGTGAAAAATACACGAAGCTTAAATACATTTGTAGATTTCTGTAAATGCTTTCTCTTAAAAAAAAAATATCTTTTTAATTCCATGTTATCATGATTAAAAAATACTTTCATATATTCAGACGAATAGTGAGTCATTGGTCAATATGTCGCGCTTTCAACCACCCTCTCAAAGAGAATTCGTGGGAAAATAAGCCACCACAAATTGTACAGAATTATGAGTTTACAATCTTCTGGAATTTCAGTGTTCAAACTGATAGGGAAACCCGGGTAAAACATCATCCAGACATAATTGTGAAAAAGGATGTTGAAAACACATCTGATAAATGTTGCAGCGCCAACAAAGAAAAAGAACATCTTTGAAAACGTTTTAGAAAATACAAGGGCTTCGAGATAGAAATCAGTAGAATGTGGTTTCTCAATACAATATTCCCCGTTGTTATTGGGGCTTTGTGGATGATATCAAGAGGAGCAGAAAAATATGTGTATCAAATTCATAGCAGCCCTAAAATATGTGAATTGCCAAAAATCATATTCATGCGTACTTCTCACATCTTGCAATTTCTCTCTATGCCGTGACCAAAATTACATATTTTGTCTCCCTGTTTCTATGACACCTCATTTGTTTGCATCTTCTGATACAAAAAAGTTGTTGTCTCTCGAAACCTTTAGTTGAAATTTGGAGGGGGACAAGTCTACTATATAAAACAAAGGCAAAACACAACAAGGTGAATTTCTAGCTGCTTTTGTGTTTTGCAGTTATAAACAGATTGTTTCCTTTAAGCATTAGACCAAAGAAATTCTAGATCGATAAAAGAATAATCGCATCAAAAGAGGTGTCGGTACGAGAGGCAAACAAAATTAACATTTAAAATTAAAAATCCAGGAATCCATCGATTAGTTCGGCTAATGTTTACATTGGTAACTATAATAAAATCAATTTTCAATTACTACGGTTAAACTGGAGAATGTTTTACCACACTAATCGAGTATTATATAAGCACAAATCGAATTTTGGTATATAAAAATATTAGTGCGCTAATCAAAAACACATTAATCGAATGCACATCAATCGAGGGATGCCTGTAGTAAAAAGTATTAAATCCTTCTTCGTTAGATCGAGAAATTCTTCCTGAAATCCATCACCTGAAGAATGAAACGATATGAAAATCTAATGAAAATAAAACATTTAAAAAATGTTATGTTCACCCAATACAAGACCCAAGAGCCATTCAAGGTAGAGGGTTACTGTGTGTTGTATGAGCATAAGAAAAGGCAAAATGTGAATTTCCTGGGGATATCCAAATAGACGATCAATTTGAGCCCATTCACCATAATAGGTGAAAGTTCGGTGGTGGTGGTGGTGGTGGTGGTGGTGGGTGGAACGTTACTAGTTTGGCGTTGACAGTATTGGATTTTACAAATCAACCGTTCCTAGATCAAAGGAGAGGGCCAAGATACAGAGAACGGGTCTAAGAGATTTCACTTCACTTAGAACCTAGCAATAACTTCAACCCGGTACATTTACGCGTAAGAATTGTTGTATACGTTAGTACTACTGTATGAGTCGATCTTTTACATATTTGGGGTTTGATGTAGTTTCAGGCCTATATCCGCCAGATGAGTTAGATCCCCATTGATTAAAGAAATGCAACGCGTATTTGACTGTGAAACGTAGGCAGGGCGTCGAAATGGTCAGATACGTAGTGAAATATTATGCTTACAAAATCGGCTGGTTTGTGGAGCGAAGACAGGAATGCACTCCAAGACAAACATCAAATGACAAAAAAAAAAAAAAAAAGAGAGAAAATACTAGAGATCAAATTCTACAGTAGAAGGAACAAATACCTGAGCAGTTTCCATTGCGAGATACTCTGGACCATTCTTGAACTGGACAGGAGATGGAACGCAGGGACGTGAACCACAAAACAAGAAAACAGATGATGATGATGATGATGATGCAGATGCCGATGCATAAGACTCCACATCTGAGAGACGATGTTGATGAGTTTCTCTATAACAAGAAATGAAGGCGGAAGAGGACTAATCAGAATTGCAGACTTCGTTGATGCTGCGGTCGTGAAGATTACACAAGGCAGAACAAATAAATGCTATTAGCATCAGACTAAGCTGCAGTACAACAAATGAATTGAGGCCCAGAAAACACAAAAAATGATAACTCAGAATTGGGAGGCAGAACAATTACACGCTCGTTTCAGAAGCGGTAACAGCAAAATCGTGATGGCGACAGCTATGTATCGAAAACCTTAAAAGGGAAATGAGCTGTTCTTAACAGCAGTTCAACATCATGAAAACCGACCCTGTGAAAGCCAAAATAGATTAAATAAGAAAACAGCAAATGTAGACTGTGAAAGCAAAACCGAGACAATGAAACACATAAGCAGCGAATGTTGCAAATAAAGTCCAGAAAGAAAAAAAAATGAATAAACATGAATGGTGAAGGTTATTCGCGAGGAACTCTGAAAGTGACTGCATTTTAATCATAGAAAGCAATGGGTTAATTATATCAGAATCTTTCTTAGAGAATTACATAAAAATTCTCTCGGAATTAGAGATCCAAACAGATCTCCAAATCAAAGCCAGAAGACCGGATCTGATAATAATAAGGGAAAAAGAAAGAACAATCTAGTTAGCGGATTCGCTCTTTTTGGTAGCCGACAGAGTAGATATAAAAGAAAAGGAAAAACTAAATAAGTGTCTCACCAGAAAGCCAACGATTTTGTGGAATATGGCGGTAACAATTGGAACACTGGAAACGCTGGGTACATCTTTGAAAAGTCAAGGGGAAAAAGCGGAAGAAATTGAAATTGCGAAGAATTGGAACAATTCAAACATTATTGAAAACAGAATACTGAGGAGAGTGCTGGAATATTAAGGGACTTACTGTCACGGGAACCTCAATGCTGGCCACTCAATGAATAATAATAATAATAATAATAATAATAATAATAATAATAATAAAAAAAAGAAATTGCAAGAAGAAAAAAGATAACGTTATAATATTGATAAGAAAAATAATATTAATTATATGTAGATGTTTGATTATTGATACGATTATGGTTTTTCTACTTCCAACACCCAAAGTGAAAAGGCCAAGATTTCGGTGCTGATTTTCAAGACAGTCAGGTTCTTTCTATATGATTAATTGGCGCAACACATTCCTATCATCGTTTGGTTGAATGATGAAGAACGTTAAGTTTTATTAATGCGATTAAATTATTTGTAACTTTGTTATAGTAGTAGTAGTAGTAGGAGGAGGAGGAGGAGGAGGAGGAGGATGGTGAAAGTGATGGTGATGAATGTGATGATGACGACGATGAGGATGATTGTAAAGCTTACGTTGTCTCCCAAATAAGAGAACTTGAGGTCAGCAATGAGAGCAGCAGATATTTCGTCATAAAAGTTTTTGAGTTGCAGCGAAGTGTCGGACGCTTCATAGATGCGACGAGCAACGGCGTTGTTTCGAAGGGAAAGTTTTCGCATCAGGTCGAAGTCTGCGTCGGCGCCAAAAGACAATCCAAAAACGGGGATTCCATGCTTGTTTATCCTGTCAACGTTAGCCAAAATCTTGACTTTGTTCGTTTCACCCTCTGTCGCTTCACCGTCAGTCAGGAAAACTATGATAGAGTTACGAGTCTCGTTCAGTGACTCGGAGCTTTTCGTCATCATTTTCAGACCTTCGACAAGAGCTCCGTTGATGTTGGTAA